CCCCACGTCTTAAGGTCCCCTAGCCTAATTCTGCAGACCACAAATTTTATGCTATAAAGTTCATCATCATCATCATTATGCACTCAACATCACTGATGCTTCTGAGGAGGAAGAGTCCGCTTCGCTCGAACCATCATAACTGTCAGAATCTGCAGATTTTATCAACATATGTTAGTATCTTCTAATTGCTATGATATCCTGATTAGGCATGCAAGGTGCTTAATTTTTATCTTCTTGAAAAAGTGAAACTTGAAATCCCTAGATTAGCGAGCTATGTTTAGAAATCATCGCATTTTCAATCTCAGAGATAGAACGGCGGCTTGGCGACATTGAGAAAGGATCACGGAACTATAACCAAATGATTCCTCGAGCGGCACCAAATTGCCTGTAAAGAGTCTCCTATCCAACAAATGCGGATACAATAACGGTTTCAACCAAATTTCACACAAAATTTCCGTGGAAGCTTTATAAATTTAACTGAACTTATATGATACGAAATTGATTCAGAGAAAGAAAATGAAACCTATTTGACTCAGGTATTGTCCACAACCCCTGTTCGTCAACTTATTTCTTTTCCCATTCAGGATCTTAGTGCGTCTCAAAAAAAATAAAATCCACATATTAACTTGTATTAAAAGATAATTATTTCATTTAGGTGTTAAGAATGTCTGTGCGACAAGGAGGTTTCTGTGAGCTACATCGATATGGATTGGGGTTTTAAAATTTTTATACAGAAGCCTATCTGCAGTATCTTACCCGCCTGACGAACGACTGGAACTACGATGGCTTCCGGATTCTGTCGAAGAGAATAAAGAAGAAAAGTTTATACACGACGAAGTTAGGGGTAAGGAAAGATACTCTCAAGGTGGCTACCGGATACAAAGAACAGGTTAGAAAGAGAAAGTTACAGGCAACTTCCCGTGCAAAATGCCCGATTTTTTTTTAATATCAAAATAACGATAAACTTATGTCGGTGACACCACTTACACCCGCGAAAGTAAACCATCGTAGAAGTGTAAAAATTGCAATTTTCATTTGAAAGCTTGAAATACCTCTGAAAATGTTGCTATCATTATTTGAAGTTTGAAAATTGACCAAATGTTGGTCTGTGAACATTGGGGGTAGGATTTTGAATTTCAAGCACTGGTTTGGAAGTACAGCCAGCCTACTACTTCGTGTAAATCTGGGTACACCGACTTTTGATCATGAAAATTGATCCTGAAAAATGCTCGGGGATACCAGTTTTTCAACGCATCCTGGATACTTGGTTACCACAATATCCAATAAAACAATTTCAATCAAAAAATCTCATCCATATCAAAACGATACGGTTCTGTTCAGCTGTGCTTGGATAAAGAGAAATGCGCATCGTGCGTCACCGTTTCCTCAAGAAAGTCGTTCCAGCGGTAGTAGAGCTAAAAGGAGCAGCCACTCAGTACTGAATATTTTACAGCTCAAAACAAAACGGTTTCTTAAGAAGCCACCCAAAAAAATTTATCCAATCACAGCCGTGGAATTCCAGCCACAAACAGAATGGTTCCCGAAGTGAAGTGAAAGCAATCAACCTTCTCGCCTACAAAAGACTCGCAGTCGAAACGTCTCGATCCCAATAGATTCCATTCTGCCTTGGGTCTGTTCAGTATTAAATCACAGATGACGTCAAAATGCGTTAAGGGGCCGACCATTTAACTTTTGAGGGAGGGGGGATGGGTGATTTTGAAAAAGAATTTCCTGCAAGCGCTTGTTGGAAGAAAAAAATTGCATGCAGTCCAAATGTAACAAAAAAAAAAAGAGCATTTAGAACGGAAAAATATCCTGCCCAGCAGATTGCTAGAAAAAAAATTCTCAATGACCAGAAATCACCCACCCCCCTCAAAAGTTAAATGGTCGGCCCCTAAGAACAAAATATTTTCAGACGAAATTGATGTGCTCGCCACATTTTGCCGACTTCTGTGATTAATTACTGTACATACCCATAGAAACCTGCAATCCATTTCTTATAAATGATAGAAGAGCATAATGTTCTTAGTAGTGACGTTATCGATGCGTCTGTTCTCCTATAAATCATAAGTAAGAATTAATCGAAACGCGTGTATATCGTATAAATCCGATGTCACTAAGTTGTGAGACAACCGATTTAATTCTTATTGAAAATGTAAGGCTACCTGAAATTTACCTAAACGCTTCAGAAGACCAAAAATCACTGGAATGAGTTTCAAATTCAAAGCACGGTTAAGCTTTCCTGGGAAATTTTTGATTTTCGACTGATAGGTCTTAACCCTAATCCCTAATTTCGTTCTTAACAAGGGATCACCTAGAGAACATGTTGTATCGTTATTCCCTTATAATCCCTAGGTCTCTTTTCTCAATAATGTAAACCAATTTGGAGAAATTCGATAGCACATAACGTTTCATCAGGTTTCAAAACAAATATATTTCCTTAGATGAAAAAATATTTTTCCTCTATAAAAAATAACTCCCTTAAAAAGCCGGCCTTTTCGTTTATGTTCCCGCCGCTGAAAGGTCTTTTGTCGATTTGGCTGAAAGTGTGGCTAGCCGGCATATTACAAGCAACCATGTTGACTAGACATTACCTCCATGTTACACCCATCTTCTTCACCTATTTCGTGCCTCGAGAGCAACTTTTTAAGCTCTCTGTCCTTTTTACGCCACATCTGAGGCGTCAATTCTGCATTTTCCTAGAAGATAACATTTGAATATTAATCATTAATTCACACTTAGTCTGTAGGTTGAAGCACACGATCGACATACCAAAATACACCTTATATGTGCTAGTTGATAGCTTGAGCACTTCATGGAAACCAGGTATCTGCAAATGTACTAATAATTTTTTCACAGCTATTAAAGTACACTTGTGTATTTATTGCACATCTCCATGCCATACCCATCTTCTTCACTTACTTCGTTACTGAAGACCACCTTTTTAAGCTCTTTGAAAAGTTGTTGATCCTTAGTAAGCGACATCTGCAATGCTGCGTTTTCCTAGATGATAAAGTTATAGTATAAACCATTTATTCACACTGTAGGCTGAAGCACACGATCGAAATCCCAAAATACTCCTTATAGGTATTCGTTGACAGCCTAAGAACTCCATGGAAACCATTAAAACTTATTGGAAAACGGTATGTTGATATGCTTATTTCTATTTAGCTACACCTCTAGTAAAGCACACCATTAATTGCTTATTTCTCAATAGCCAAAAAAAACAGACACATAGAAACTTAGAAGACAAAACCTGTGGTCATCATACCTTCTTATAATTCTTCAAAGCCACGCGCACCTAAAACAAATGGGAAAAATTGAAAGCAGTACGGTAAATACTGATCAGTCAACTGATCGGTAAATACTTAGCAACCTGCTGACATAAGATAACCCTAAAAAGGCATGTTGTTAAAACATATCCTTAGAGCAGTTGAGTGCAATACCAGTCTGCATGTACTCTTCAGTTAAATGGGCCGACATTCAGTCACTTTGTCTACCGACCTTCTCTTCGCCAAGTTCTGTAATGTTGGTCAGATCGCAGAGCACTTTCTTAAACAACGATTAATTTTTAACTCAATTCTGCTGCTTGCCCTCTTACCTCGCAGAGGTGTCTCCTCGCAGAGTCCAATTCTTGTTGGACACGTTGTAGTTCCTAAGAGGTATGTAACATATCAATTTAAAAGTAGTAATTGTTTAAAAACTAGAAATTTGAGCTATCCTGAGTTACCCCTGGCAGGGAAAATTGTTATTTCATGCTTATGCTCAAACAGTTAGTAGTGTAATTCAGCACACATAAACAATTTTACTGACTCAAAGTAAATGATGACTAAATGAATAGGAAAAAAATTTAACTCAAAACTAAGAAAATTCAATAAAGGAAATTATGAGAAAAGTAAAAACAATGCTAAAACTTTGCTTCTATATGCTTTATCTATAGTAATGTGGGCTGAGGAAAGATAATATTTATTGGGTCACAAGTGTGTACCAAAGCAAAATCTGATTCCTCCACTTATATTAAAAACCCTGATCAACGGATTTCACAATCTAATGCTTTACCACTGGGATACAATGAGCTCCATGGCCAGATACGGATTACAGTTTGCGCAAAGGTGACATGCACCCTGGCTATAGCAATGATTAGCGCCGGAAGAGGATATTCCCTAGGTCTGGGGTTTAATTCTTCGCGCAGGACTATGTTCTTATTGACTGTGTGGAGAGGTAGGACGGGAAAATATTTGACTCTCGTGACGGGCTTGGTTCACGGACGGCTTAGTGCACTTGTACGGCGGCATTATTCGCTGCTGTTGCAAAAGACGGGNGACATTCAGTCACTTTGTCTACCGACCTTCTCTTCGCCAAGTTCTGTAATGTTGGTCAGATCGCAGAGCACTTTCTTAAACAACGATTAATTTTTAACTCAATTCTGCTGCTTGCCCTCTTACCTCGCAGAGGTGTCTCCTCGCAGAGTCCAATTCTTGTTGGACACGTTGTAGTTCCTAAGAGGTATGTAACATATCAATTTAAAAGTAGTAATTGTTTAAAAACTAGAAATTTGAGCTATCCTGAGTTACCCCTGGCAGGGAAAATTGTTATTTCATGCTTATGCTCAAACAGTTAGTAGTGTAATTCAGCACACATAAACAATTTTACTGACTCAAAGTAAATGATGACTAAATGAATAGGAAAAAAATTTAACTCAAAACTAAGAAAATTCAATAAAGGAAATTATGAGAAAAGTAAAAACAATGCTAAAACTTTGCTTCTATATGCTTTATCTATAGTAATGTGGGCTGAGGAAAGATAATATTTATTGGGTCACAAGTGTGTACCAAAGCAAAATCTGATTCCTCCACTTATATTAAAAACCCTGATCAACGGATTTCACAATCTAATGCTTTACCACTGGGATACAATGAGCTCCATGGCCAGATACGGATTACAGTTTGCGCAAAGGTGACATGCACCCTGGCTATAGCAATGATTAGCGCCGGAAGAGGATATTCCCTAGGTCTGGGGTTTAATTCTTCGCGCAGGACTATGTTCTTATTGACTGTGTGGAGAGGTAGGACGGGAAAATATTTGACTCTCGTGACGGGCTTGGTTCACGGACGGCTTAGTGCACTTGTACGGCGGCATTATTCGCTGCTGTTGCAAAAGACGGGAGACAGCAGTGAAAAAAAAAAAAAAAAGAGAATAAAAGTCATTTTTTTCGACGAATTGTGAGTTTCTTGTTCCCACTCTAAAAATAAAAGAAATTTTTTCATTGTAGAATATTTTTTTTGTGGTTTTCCCGCGCGCGCGAGCCTATCACGCCCTATTTAAGTTAAAACAAACTTTTTTAAATGTTTCAAAACTTATTCTGAGGCGATAGAATTAAATGCCCCTCAACTGAGTTAGGTTGGGCTGGACGGGAAAATATTTGGCTCGTTTATGACGCACGGACCTTGCGTCGAGTCAATTATTTTCCCGTATGAGTACATATGTCTGACTTGTCTGACTCTGAGATAGAATAAATATATGAAGTTCATATATTTTGAACTGCGGTATTAGATACGTATGATGCACGATCCACTTTCACGGGTTTATTACGAACCAACTTAACGGCCTGCTCCCAGTTGGCTTGTTAGCTCAATTGGTAGAGCGCTGCACTAGTATCGCAGAGGTCAGTGGTTCGAGTCCCGTACAGGCCTGATTTTTTTCAGGTCTGATTTTCGCTATTGCATAAATAGCGCTATCTACTGCGAGGATCGTGCATCATACGTATCTAATACCGCAGTTCAAAATATATGAACTTCATATATTTATTCTATCTCATTTATCACTTTCACGGGTTTATTACGAACCAACTTAACGGCCTGCTCCCAGTTGGCTTGTTAGCTCAATTGGTAGAGCGCTGCACTAGTATCGCAGAGGTCAGTGGTTCGAGTCCCGTACAGGCCTGATTTTTTTCAGGTCTGATTTTCGCTATTGCATAAATAGCGCTATCTACTGCGAGGATCGTGCATCATACGTATCTAATACCGCAGTTCAAAATATATGAACTTCATATATTTATTCTATCTCATTTATCACTTTCACGGGTTTATTACGAACCAACTTAACGGCCTGCTCCCAGTTGGCTTGTTAGCTCAATTGGTAGAGCGCTGCACTAGTATCGCAGAGGTCAGTGGTTCGAGTCCCGTACAGGCCTGATTTTTTTCAGGTCTGATTTTCGCTATTGCATAAATAGCGCTATCTACTGCGAGGATCGTGCATCATACGTATCTAATACCGCAGTTCAAAATATATGAACTTCATATATTTATTCTATCTCATTTATCACTTTCACGGGTTTATTACGAACCAACTTATCGGCCTGCTCCCAGTTGGCTTGTTAGCTCAATTGGTAGAGCGCTGCACTAGTATCGCAGAG